AGTCTGAGTATTTCTTTCTTGGATTTTGAAAGGAGCACATACCGACACATATGCTCTCAAATCCCACTGCTATCCACTGGGCAGGTATGATCTCTACTTTCTCCACTAAGGGTAATATTTGCAGTCCTACAGAAACCCAGCCAGGAAGGAAAAGTCCAGAACTATGAGCTGTTTTCTGTGCAGCCCTGAGAACCATTAAGAATTCGTTAACTTCTTAAGTACTACTGACTGCACCATACTGAAACAAAAAAGAAAAACCCCAGCTGGAAGTTTAACTTTACTAGTGGTGTCATAACAAAAAATTTCAATGCAATCTAAAGGACTAATATACATGGAAACCAATTGATAGCCATTGTAATTGTAGTGGTTATGCCTTTTCTCTACGCACATATGTATCTTCTTTTATAATATTAAAAGCATAGTATTGTTATAGTTGCTATTTTTTTACCATCTAATTGCTGGATTTAGCTGCCATAGCTGAAAAATGTGCACTATTGGAATAGTTTTTATCCATGAAGTTCTTGAAAGAGACAAACCAAGAACCGCTTGTATTTTTAATAATACCGTGGAACAGACACCCTTCTTTAGATGTCGTCAAATCACATTGTAGATCAATTCTTTTAAAATTGTATTTTATGCATACCCAGGAAAGACAGCAAGAATGAGCCAGTTTCAAGAATATTTTATTGCAATATGGTAAAATACCAAAATTGTCCTAACAACAGAATTTCAAGTGACAGTGAATATTATATTGTCAAACATATATATCTATATATACCTAAAATGCATTGTTCTCATTTCCAAACTTGTATGAAGTTCTAATGGATACAGACTTCCATTAATCAAAAGTGTTGATGGCACTTTATGACATAACCTGGCTAAGCATAGGGAAAGGGGAAATTAAAAAAAACTTAAAAAGCCTTTTTTTGGTAAATATGTGGTGTTTGAGTTCATTCACAATCATGACAATGCCAAAATGGTAAAAGATGTCATGACTACATAATCTCAAGTTCTTCCCTTTCATACCTGTGTCACCACATACTTTTTGTCACTTGCCTCTTCTCCCCACTGGAGATGCCTATGCATCAGTTTGTGTCAACCTATTCTTCAAAGCACCTGAAGGCAGGACAAGAAACAGGATGGAAACTAATTGAGGAGAGAACCAACCTAAAACTAAGAAATTTCTTGATAGAACAATCAATGGAATGATTTGCCTCCCAAGCTGTGGGTGCTCCCAACACTGGAGAGATTGGGATTTGTTTGAAATACTATAGGGTTTCCTGCTCAAGCAGGGAGCTGGACTACAAGACCTCCAAGGTCCCTTCCAACTGCTATTCTTGTAAAGCTAGAGGGCCGAAGAATGGACCTACCACTAGAACTCAAACGCAACGTTTGCTCCCATCACTATAGTCCACCTATGCTTAATAATTCTCAAAGTGATCTTTCATAAAAGCAGCATTTAGGGGGGGAAACAACCCAACACATTTTTCCTGAACAATCATGGATGTAATCCACAACACCGGTGCAGTCTGTAGCTCATCATATTGTAAACTTTTAGGGGAACATTTTTCATCTTTTATCCCCCTTACAAAAGCAGGCAATTGCATTAGATAGTTTTGTACTTACTCCCACTCCATACATCCTTTGCATGCAGTTCTCCTGCCTGCCTTTTAATAGGGTTTTGGCAGTATAGACAAGAAGGATTTTACATACAAGTATAGCAGCAAGTGTTGGGTGTACTCTGAATCTGAATGACTTCTGCAATGGCTAATCAAAGTAAGCAACCCAGAGGTATGAAGGAGAATGAGGAAAGACTATTAAGGCACTATTTTATTTGGCAAGACCGGACTGCTAATGTTCCTTAATTCTGCAGTTTTACATGATTTAATTCTTACAATAAATAAAGCAGCTCATAGATCTCACAAGAATAAGCAAAGGCAACCAGGTGCAAGTAAAATTTAACCCTTCAGGCCTCCCCACATTTTTACTATGGCAAGCAGCACCTTTATAAGCACCTACAAAAAGCAAGCACACCCCCCACTCATTCTCAAATGAAGGGCTCAAGGATCGTGCTACTCTAGATGTTCAAAGAATTAAGACATCCTTGGCACTGAGTGAAGCTGGAAAGGGATTCCAGTGCTATACTCTATATTGTTTGGGCTCTTATAATGCCTACCAATGGCAGCCTGAGCAAAACAGCTTTAGCCAAGGAAGTTTCAGGTGAACGTCGACAAGTCGTTATGGAAGGTGAAGGTGATTCAGGCAATGAAAAGTGCATTCTCTCCCTTGACTCACATGCAATAGGCATGTGGCGAAGATTGAGATAAAGTAGCAGTATATCAGCAGTGCCCCACCAATCAAGCGACCCAAACTGATGAATGTTTTGAACTGATGCTATGCTCACTCATCCTTCCCAAGTCTAAGTTTGGTTCAATTACCCCAGAAGGCTCTCCTGATCCTTGGAAACCCAGGCTAGCAACGCAAACGGTCCTACTGCAAGAGTCCCACCCAAGTCCACTACAACCCAGTCTTATTAGAAATATGGTATCTAGTGGGGAAATTCCCTCAGTTAATGAGTGATGGCAGAATGTTCCAGGGGCCCTTTTCACTCTGAGAACTGGGTGGTGGTCACCAAGAGGACTTGTTACAGGTTGACGTCTGTGACATCCGTGGGTGTGCTGGTCAAGCTGACTTCCTGGCTCTCCAGGTAAGTTGCATTCTTGGAGGGGCTATATTCTTGCTGAGGTTGAGATATTCGTTTCAGGTTATCAGCTAAGGCAGCTTCAATCTGCTCCTGGCAAGCTTTCAAGCAGTCCTAAAAGGGAAGAGAGGAACAAAGAAGAATTGTTCATGTCCACATTTTGCACCCTTCATGCCTTTTTTCAGCACCACCAAATATTTGAAGCATTCATGTTAGATACGCTGTCATTGGAAAGTTCCAAGGGAGAAGCACAATCAATTACTGATTTGTTAAAAGTTACTATCAGGGACAAATAAATGCACCTAGAGATCTGTTTAGAAATTGGCAACATAGGGCCACCTAAGGCCATTCATGGTTTTATCATCTGAAGTAAGGTCACTCCAAGTGGATCAAGTCTGATTCTTGTAACGGTGAACAAAGAATGTTGGAGTGGTGCTGTTCTTCTATTTTGGCCTTCGTACAGCTGAGGAACACATCAAAAATTGCAAAAGTAGAATTACAAGAATTCAGCATGATTACAGTTAAATATTTGCTAATTGTTTATGTATGTGGACATTAATTTATTTCCCTCAAAGAAGTATTTCCTGGTGTACTGGGAAATGTCTAAGGAAATCATGCCAAAAAGAGCCTGCAACTCATTTCTACAACGTTTGCATAAAAGACACACTTGCATTGAAGTATGTCTTGCACAGGATTGGAAAGGAAAAACTACTAGAAATATACATTACTGGTAAGCTATCTAGTGAGAAGTATTTGAAACATTCAATAGTTCCCTCCTACCAAGAATTCGAACGTGCTAGACTGCCTCTGACTATGTTCTCCAGAGACTACTGTTACTGCATTTATCTTAATGCAAGGGAAAATTTTGACCTTCAATTTGGGAGGGCCTATATGCAGCAACAATTTTTCTCAGGGAAACAAGGAAACCCCTTCAGTTCTGCAATGAATCACAGTGGTAAGCCCTATAGCTCGCTGCATCATCTGTTATAAAGACGAAGGATCATCTTCTTGCTGTAGCCTAAAACACAATGATTTTCTGCAGCTCTTAGGGGTTTGAGTGGATCCTCAACAGGCTCCTTGAGGCTGCTAACTTTGCAGGATCCTGTCATGTAATGTATACAATCTTACAAAGAATCCTCTGATGGTTCTTAGAATCTGAGAGGATGTGGCAAGTAAATATAGCAACACCCAAGCTCTTTCCCTCAGAAGACATTTCCAGTAAATGTTGCCTCTAAAACCATTTTTAACACACAACAAAAGCTAAGTAAAGCCCACCCTAAATCATTTGGCCAGCTTGCAAGCAGATGATAAGGAAATACAGGAAGGATTGATTATAGAATATAGAATGTTGGACTTCTCATGGTAAGTTTCTTCTCTGAGAGAAAGGGATTGTTGTAGTTTTCTACTTCTAGGTCCAACAGACAAAATTCTAATGATCAAACCTGAACACAATTCTCTGTAGGAAATAATTATTCCTATTTCAGTTATATAAGCCAGAGCCCAGCATTGCCAGTGAACTGAAAAATAAGCTATATACTTTCAGTTGGTCAAACATCAAGTAGTGACAAAACAAAATCTATTTCCAGAGAAAATAATAAATGGACTGAAATAACAACCCCACTCCCACAAATAGAATAGAATAGAATAGAATAGAATAGAATAGAATAGAATAGAA